ACTTCTTTTAAGTAAGTTTAAAAGGTTACAAATTTTAATTTTTTAAAAAACTTATTTAAAAGTTACTTTAAAAATTAATTTTTAAATCTTTTATCAATAAATTTTTAAATTTATAAAAAAAAATTATGTTTTAAATTTCATCAAACACCCCCATAAACATATATAAAAGTAGCTTTGATTGAAACAGTGAGTTTAGTTTTAAAATACAAGTAAATTGGTCGCTTAAACCAAAAAAAAAAAAAAAAAACCATAGAGTTTTATGTGGTAGTTATGTGCATAGGGTGGTGGATGCATGTCATGCAGATGCACCAGTTAGTCAAAGCTCCTCACGTGTCGGGACATATTAGTAAGAGTGCAACCCATCCATCCCTCCATTAATTAATTGCTTTCCATAAATCTGTAAAATACACTGTCCAATTAAAGAAAAAATAAATAAAAAGGCCAAAAAACGTCACTCTCCTCTTCTATATAATATCTCCAGCAATCTCCACCTTTACAAACCTAACAAACAGAACTAAAAATCCTCTTCTCAATCTTAAGCCTTCAGTATTTGCTGGTACGTTCTCGATAATCTAGATTGTTTTCAAAGTATTTTTTGATTTAATTTGTTTCATGTTCGTAATTAAATCTTAGCTATTTTGATTGATTTTTGATGTCCATGCCAGAGTTCGAACTAAAAATGATGGTTTTTCCTCTTTCCATCAACACGAAACCAAAAGTAGTGATGGTATCCTGCACTCGATTCCTGCACGATCAGAGATGATTGAAGCTGGCTAGCGAGGGTGAGTAAATTCCATGCTGTGCTAGTGTCAAACGAGCAGTCTTTTGCAGATAAAAACCTTTGTTTCGTTGTCTGTTCGACCTGAAGAAATTACTGTTAGGACTAAAACCCTAATTGAAATACTTAATTTCTCGTATAGTACTATATGCTAATATATCCTGACAGGGTCGATTTGGATCTATCTATATATCTAGCTATATATTTCAACTCACCTGACACTTTTGAACATCACATGATGATCAAATTTACTCATGTGCATAAACATATAGATATACATATATAATATTGACATACCTACATACAGTACTCCTTCAATCCGAAAATATCTATCTTTTTTCTTTGGGGACGGAGAGGGAGTTTATGTAAATACTAAGATTTGTTTTCTGTCAAGAAATTCTTGTCCTTTATATAATTTCATGATTAAACTAATAGCTAGGTTTGGGAGTGATATTGATTTCAGGCCTTAATTGGGAATATTTTACATGTCAATTGAAATAGGGTATATAAAACATGTAAATTAATTTTTTTGGCCATAAATATATAAATTTACTTATAATAATAATAATTTGTTGCTGGGAAATGAATTGAATCTAATACACATAAATATATACTGTCTTCCAAAAATATTGTCATAGTACTTATTAATCACTACCTTAGTACTTCTCCTCTTAATTAGCATAGTTATGGATAGACTTTTAGGTAACTGTTACACCGAATAGTTTTTGTTTTTTGTATTAAAATTTACATTTAAAACAAATTAAGACTAGCCAGGCACAAAGCTATGGTGTGATTGGTCCATATATAATCTACCCAAGGCATTAGCAATCTTTTTTTTTTTATCTTTTCTGCCCAATCCAAACTATAGCACCCCAGTTCCTTCTGTTGTTATTATATTTTTTTTCTCAGAAGACAAAAGGGGTAAAACTGAATACTACAGTTCAGGACGTTCAGTTCATCAGGTACCAATGTTAGAAGGATAATTTGTCCTTAACTATAAAAGCATGGATAACATAGATGAATACCATTGAAATCAAGAAAAATGAAGTTAGATAATTGGAATTAAACAAAGATATCATCTCTCTACCAGCTGGAAATGGTTGGTGTATATATAAATTGTTAGGAGTGATTAAATTTTTTAGTGTTGAGTGGTATAATTATAGAGTTCCAGAGATTTAGTGTGTCACTTGATGTTACCTTTTTTGATGTACACATAAATTATTATATATTTAACTAAATACTTTCTTGAAGATTTCGATGATATCTTAAATCTAATTCCCAACTTGCATCGAATGTATTTTTCGATGTGCATATGTATATTCTCAATCTAAAACGTGCCATTATAATTAATTATAAGATTTCATGGATCTAAGTGGAGTTTAACCAAGCGAAAAACTTTTAATTAGCTAACTTACCGTACAAATGAGGGGACCATCACATTGGTAGACTCATATGCTTTGGCAAAGAGAATCATTAACATAGCTAAACTAATTTACTTGATTGCTCTCTAACAACATAGATTATGGTATACATTGGTACTTGCATGCATAAATAAAGGATTTCTGTATTCTGTACGGACAGTATACCTTTTTTTTTGGGCATATTCTGCATTAAAAATGTAAATTCATCAGTTTATCAAATACTCCATCTGTTCCAATTTTCTCACACTTATTAAATTTGGGTATTTCAATTTAGTTGCCTTAATTTCTATTTATATGGGACATTAATTAAACGTTAAGTATTGTTTTTAACTTTATATATATTGCTTTAATCTAATTTTAAAGATAATATATAAAGTTTTTTATTGGAGATAAATGTGTGATTTTAAAACCTAATTATAACATTTTGACTTATTTTTAAATTGTTTAAGTATGTGTAAAGTTAAACAAATAAAATAATTAAAATGAATAATAATAAATAGAACCAAAATTTAAGACTAACACCACGTTATTTAAAATATATATTACAAGGTGGGATTATATATTATTTAATAATTAATTTTTTTAATTTTTTAATATTATATATATTAATTAATTTAATAATATAACTTATAATACACCATTAATTTTAAATTTGTGTTTTAATTTTTTATTCTTCTTATTATTATGACTCAATTAAAGTAGAAGGGTGAAAGTAGTTGACAGTAGCAGTTAATGAGATTCTTGAGGTCGAGCAGACGGCGAATCTGAGGCATAAGCAAAGGACTGTGCATTTGACAGAGCTTCACATGGAATTTAACACCTAACAGGTTTCGTACAAGTTCAAGTTAGGTCATGTATGTGTTACTTTCGAGGGCTAAGGAGTGATCCATCTTTGCCGGGTACGTGTACGATATCTATCTCTATATCTGGGGAGTGATCCATATTTTCGGGGGGCGTATTATTTTTCTATATAGCAGATTAGCTGGCTCCAAAAAAAATATAATAATAATAATAATAATCCAACTGATTGAAAAATTACAAAGAGTGGGCGGAAAACTTTGGAGAGATTGGATAGGATTGTTCTAAGGAGGAGTGGGTGGCTGTGCAATGGGATATAGAAAGTGGCAGGGAGTGAAGAAAAAACTTTGTGTTGGGAAGACACTTGGGTAGGAACTGAACCACTAAGAATAAAGTTTGAAAGATTGTATAGACTAGCTTTAGTCAAAACAACAAAAAATAATGAGAAAGGAGAATGGAGGCTGGAGTTGGAATTGGTATTGGAGAAGAAGTCTGTTCACTTGGGCGGAGGAGTTATTGGAGGAATTATGTCGGTGTGTGAGCTTTGTTGTTTTGCAGGAAAGGAAGAAGGATGGGTGGTGGCAGTGGTCCACTGATATTTAATTAGCCTACACGTTGAAATCTGTCAACAAAATGCTGACAAAAAACAATCATTTAACAGGATAAGAAGGTGAACAAGCTGCTATGGAGAAATGTGGTCCTGTTAAAGGCTGCTGCGTTATGTCTGGAAAATGATGATTCAGGAAAGAATACCAACCAAGAGGGATTTTAAACTCCCCATCTAATTTAAAGTGCGGGCCCTGTGGGGAAGATGAAGAGACAACAGATCATCTTTTTGCAAGATGCGAGAAAAGGCATGGATATGTTTGGAGCAGAATGGATGGATTGTGGAAATTAATATAAGTGCTGTGCTACATAACTTGTCATGGGATGTTTGTTCAACATGAAGGCCTGAATCCTATGAAAAGAAAAGACAAATTTTGGATGCTACTAGTCGTCACGGCATGCTGGAAATTTTGGAATTGGATAAAAAAAATTTGTTCCACAGCAAGGAAAGGAGCGTGTAACAGACTATGGATTTGATCCAGGTTAGATCATGGAATTGGATTAAGTCTAAAAATTCTAAATTCTAGTATTGCACGTAGCAAGAAAAAAATTGTAATTATATATGAGTTTGAGTATCTATTGTATTTTAAAAAAAAAATAATATTTCATAGTTGATAAAAATTATATATCGATGTTCTCTTTGAGCAGGATAACGCTAGTACTATCATTTTCTGATCAACTTCATGCATAATTGCAGAGTTAATATTTGGTTTTGTTTAAGTGGTTTTGCATTTCTCTGTACATTACTTTTGAACTACCTTATAGAATAATACACGAGAGATGCATGGACGAACGTATTGTAACCATCTTCTGAACTTATTGAGGAGATATAAATGACTTGAGTAGCAGGACAGATAATAAGTGTTTTTCACAGAAAAATGAAAGTGCAGGGTCCCCAATATTAATGGAGGGTGGGGCGCGCCCACTGTTTTATCTTTGGTTTTTTACAAAGGAAACTATTTTTCTTATTCTAAAATAATTATCATTTTTTAATTTCAAATTTATTTTAAATTAATTATATTTTTTTATTTTTTACAATAAATAAATATATTTTTTATTTTAACCATATCTTTATTTTTATTTATCTATGAAGTCATGCTATAAGCTACTGATGAATGCTTCAGCAGAGGATACATCTACAATTCTGAAGAGATGTTGGCATCAATTGTTCCTAAGAAGGTCAGTACTTTTATATGGCAATCATTATATAAAAGAATTCCAACTAAAAATAATTTATTAGCCAGAGGAGTACTCAAAAAGGAATCTCAAGCAATATGTGTTTTGTGTGGAACTTGCATTGAAAGTGTAGAACATTTATTGCTTACTTGTCCGTTTGCTTGGAGATTGTGGTCTAAATGCTTAGCGTGGTGGGGATACATTATGTAATTTATTGCATGTTAGAGTAGGTTTTCCAGCAACATATTGGCATGTTAGGTAAAAGGAAAAGCTGAAGTGGGTGGGAGGTAGTTGGTAAGCTATCACATGGACCATATGGCTAGGAAGGAATTATTATATGTTCAAAGGGACCGAAGTTGATGGGGACAAACTATATGTGATATGGCTACGAAAGAATTATTATATGTTCAAAGGGACCGAAGTTGATGAGGACAAACTATTCTCTTTAGTTCAAACAAGATCACACCAGTGGAAAGCAGCAAGATCATACCAGTGGATAGCGGTAAGATCAAGACAGTCGGCTTTCTCTTTCTCGGAATGGTTGATGATCCCGAAGGAATGTGATAGACTGTTGCAGAAAAACAATAAAAAAGAAGTAGGAAGGATAGTTAATCTTGTGCTTGGAGAAGGAAATCAGTAAACTTATTATGTAAATGGATAGAAATACTCTTTGTATTCCATTAATAAAAATCTTTTTTTGCTATTAAAAAAATTAATCATTTAATCATAATTTTTTTTTTGTCTTCTATTTTTTTATCAGCATTGTCTTTTTTTGAAAAGTATTATAAATAAATATAAATATACTCTCTAAAGTTTTAATTTAAAAAAATAAAAAAAAATAATTGTTTTAAAATAATGAAAATATTACTAGTATAGTTGATTCTGAAATGAAAAATACGAAGATTCCTTAATTAATATATAGGACCAAACTGTACTATCACATACAAAAACCACATTTTAGACCGGTGTTTTTGGCAAGAGGACCAAGCACCCCTTGCACCAATACATATTAAGGGAGTGATAAATATATGAATTAAAAATAGAAAATAGAAAAAAAAAACGTAAAGAATTTTTCATACAGGAGTACAAATTCAAAGATAGTTCAAGTGCACATGATACATATTTAACTATTTAAAACCAAACACAAAACATGAAAAATCTAGAAAAAGCCTATCATCTCAAACTTATAATTAATGCTATTAGCGTATCCAGTAAAAGTTCATTACTTAAGTAGGCCAAATCCCCTATTTGCACCCTTCATTTAATTTTTTTTGTGGTTAACACTTTTCAAAATTTTTTCTTTCTATTTACATCCTTAACTTTTCAAAACTTGTGAAAAACCCAATATTTTAACGCGCTATTATAAAAACGTTAATAACTATTAAAAATTGTAATACGTGGCATCAAACAGTAACATGAACATTATGTCACCTTATTAATACAATGTGGATTTTTTTTTATGATGTGGCATAATTAAATCATAATTAATTTTAATTTCTTCATTTTCTTCTTTCCCGGCATCATCTTTACCATCTTCCTCTTTATCCTCCTAGGTTCCTCATGAAACCAAGAACCCAGAACGTTATA